TAAATGCTACGTCGAAGCTGACAAGTGCCGCGATGTGTAGACGGGCGCGTCACTTTGTCGTTTTCGTTAACTTTCGTAACGGAGGGTACACGTGTCGTTGGATAAAACTTCGTAGGATTATCTATACCAGTCCAGTGCACCGTACGGGAGAGGCAGCCCGATTGGCAGCATGTGAAATTGTTGCCGGGTTAGAAGCAAATGTATTACATAGAGTGACAGACGTGAGAATCGTACGCGGCCTAGTTGGTCGGGTCACCGCGAGGGCGGCGCAACCTCCTGTCGGTTCGCGCACGTAAATTATGATCGCGCCGAAGTTATATCCCGAGCTGCTAATTATATCGGCTACTTAAACGCGTGCCGATTAATCTCAGGGTGGCGAAGGCAGTGGCTCTCGGTGTTTCCCTGTCGCCAGGACGACGTCGTGACTAACCTTCTCTCACGTGGCGGGCAACGAGCGATATATCCACGCTAACCGAGTGACAAATAGGCTCACCGCGTACTTCCTAGACGCTGTCGCCGGGGAGTAGACGTGAAATAGCCGTTAACGGCATTAGAGGGAACGACAGGCCTGGGAGTCTCCTGGTAGTTGCGATTAGACTGTGTGTTATTAAACGTTGGAAGGAGCATCTTTTTCAATGCTGCACGCTTTGAGGTCGCGTGGGATAACGCTTGGGAGTCTGAACGCTCCGGTGGATTATCGTGATGGTTTAACACCTGAAACAGTATTGCCAACTATTTCTTGTTGTGTATCTATTACCACGGGTACTACCCGGTTACCTACTATGCTCGTACAGTGTATCAAGGTACTTTGGTGGAACATATTTATGTATTCCCGTGTAAATTTTCTCAACGCTACTGCCACGTCCATACTCCCGGCTTTCAATCGAAACGAAGTCACGCACCTGGATAGCAGCCACCGGACTCGATCAACGTTCTGATTTATATCCGTGCACGCACGGAAAGCTGCTAAGTGCATTTCTAACGGGTAAAATCATCTCCCTTCTGATAGTGGGGTTATCATTTCTTTTTTATATAAAAAATAAATCTACTTTCCTGCTATACAGTCCTGACAGCTACACGTGTTCTCGTTGCGAGATTCCCACTCGATTCTTGACTATCGGTTATCGAATGCTTATGGTTGTCATTAGGCAACTTCACGCGTCCTCCTTTTTTTTTTTGCAATTTGTACGATTCCTCCTCGCGATTTATCTGTCATTCTATTCGCGATTATTACTATTATGGAAATTTGATTACGCAATGATTTTCTTATACGGTCGATCGTGTTCTGAAATCTTTTATTATCCATTACTGCTCGTCGAATTATTATTAAAATTGTTTATCGATGACTAGCGAGGAGTGAAATTGTCTGTGATCGAATTCTCGTACCGATCGATTATTCAGTTTGAAATGTCGGATCGATAATTAGTAATAGGTGTCGATTTCGTATAGTAGCCTAGACGCTAATTTCATTTGATTCTCACGAACCTTGAAAATCCCCATAAACCATCCCACTTGTCTAGTGATATTAATGAACGTATTAAATTTCAAAGTCCACACGATCCTTCATCGCAGCCTCGAGAATATCATCCACCACCGATAACATACCGAGCAAATAGAAAGTGCAAGTGCACAACAATAATTGCACTTTGCTCGTTTCACGCGGATCTGTCGTCATCGATGATCGATCGACTCGAACGATACGCGTCTTTAACCATCGTACGATATATCCGATTCGCGCAATAAGCATTCAACGCGTAATACGGTCAAGTGCGTAAGACACGCGACTGCACGCCTCGGCGAGTCTTGGAATTTTCAAAGCCTAACGGCCGCGCGCGCCTCGTGGCTGGCGAATCGGCGCAACTGCCTGACTTCACGGTTGATCCCGATCGGTCGGCAGAGTCATCGGTAAACGCTGAAACCATTTCACAATTGAGCCCCGCATAAAAGGTTATGTGCGACGGAACTATAGTAAATACGGCATATACAACGAGGGACCGCCGGCTACGTTCACGGGGGGGCATTACGACGCTATGAAAACAGAGTCGTTTGTTACCGTTAAATAAATTAATACGCGCCCACTCACAGTATAATAGAGATTGGTCCCCAGCTCGTGTCTCTTTGCCACGATAACTAGAGATCGATAAATAGAGATAGCATGCCAATAGAGTGGGCCGGCTGACATTTTGCCATTTTGCCATTTTGCCATTTGCGTGGGTAATCGCGACGGAACAGGTGTCGCTTCTGTCGTTATCCGTGTGTATACCTGTAGCTACGTATTCATCTAGACACTTACCGATCAGCTGCTTTTACCAATATAAATAACAGCGACGGGATAACAAATAGGAACAACCACGCATACGTGAATTTTTAATAAATACGACCGCAACAGCGCATCGTAACAATATTCACGTGTAAAGTGTATCGAAGTACACGCACAGACCCGTCGCGTCGCTTCGACGTGTCAGAGCCTGTTTGGAAGTTTCTATTTCGCTATAATCCCGTCGGATGGCACCACCGTCTGGCAGTATCCCGATACACCCCGGGACGATGCACGTGTCAAATTTACGAGCTATGTAAAGCACAACGGAGGCGCGTAAAGGCACGTAGAAGACACCGTGGAAACTGCTGACGCAATGTGGCTACGCGTTTAACCTTTGTTGGCGTAAACTTATAATCCTGCACGATATACCAGCCGTACCTAATCTCTGTTCGCACGTTTCGTTTACACCTTAACCGAATAGACAGGTCGAAACCGTTAGACTGACTACACTGCTCACTTGCAGCTTTGAGGTTATACACAGGCTACGTGATAATTTATGGCCGTTGGCCAACGCGCGTCTCACGATCAGCCTATTTGGCTTCTATGTGATATTTATTGCCTCGATCTGGCCTCTCTCGTCCGCCCGTCGATACACGCCGTCGGCTAAATCTTCTTCTCGCACGTAATAACACTCTCGCTAATAATAATTATTCTATCGACACTGCAAACACACGAAATTCACATCTGCGAGTATCACTGACGTAACCCTTATGACTTTTCAACGGGTTCGTAACTGCCGTAACGATTTCCACTTTTACCCTAGTTATACGTGATATCTCGCGTGTTACGCAATCTGAAGTTGTACAGCGGACCAGGATGAGAATTCGAAAACCATGGAAACTCTTGTGTCGTCCACCTACAAGTTCATGGAAAGTTCAACGGTTTCCAGTGGGATTTTACGCTGTTTCCCGAGGTTTGCTTAGTAATAATAATAATATCAGTCCCCTTCGGTATTCAGTCGGATCCTTTATAGAGGGTCTGTACTTCTTTAGGACGCTCTGTATATCATACAGCATACAGCCACAGTTCGGTAATCAATAATCAAGAGTTTTAGCTTGACCATCGCTTTTCTCTGTGATGATAATAATAATAATATCAGAACACAATACACTTTGGCTGACCCTACCGATATTAAGCATTCCAGAGCGGCAATGCAATAACGCGAGTTATCGATGCACAGGAATTGAAATTTCCTAAGCGTTATATACACGTAAATCGATGAGAGTCGAGTTTAAAATATTCCCAAGATTACATTGGCCCCGTAGACTTATTGCCACGAGACCAAGAACATTTCGTAACTCCCCGATGAATTTTGAAACCCGAGCAGAGAACGCTTCTCGCGCGACTTTCGTTAAGAACCACGAAGATATACGCCATTAACGAAAGCACGTTCTACATTTAATTATCACCGTCCATCGTCTCCGATGACTTACGGTATCTCGCGTGTCGCATATACACATATACACGTGCCTGAACACCTATCGTTCGATCTCCGTACACTTTCAGTCCTGGACTCGCCCATTGCCCGAGTCTGCCAATCACTTATAAAACTAGCAGAAACATATACAGAAACCGAACGTTCGATCGACGCCCACGGTTATCAGTCCCTTTATGTCGGCGAGCGTGCTTGGATATCAATGGTCCTTAACGAGGCTCATCCAGCTCCTTTGGACCGCACAATGCGCGTTAACGTGATTGTACTCGGCCATCTTACGTGACAATTTGGACAAGTGAGGGAAAAC